TAGCACAGAAATCGGGCGATAATTAGACGGATCACTGGCCGCACCCTGTTTGAACAGTGGTGTCACGTTAGCGGTTTTCCAACGAGTAGGAAACGTTCCTGTGGAAAACGACATGTTGATAAGCCTTGCTATGTTTGGAGCTAAAATAGGAGCAGCAATACGCAAAAACCTGGCGCTGATTTTATCGATACCTGCAGCCTTGTGAGGACTGATCCCCTTTATAATCTGGAGCACCTGAGCATTGTTTATGTCTGGAACTGAGAAAAACCATATCCGGATCTTTGCAGGACTCCACAAGGTTTACCAACTTGGACAAGTCTGATGGCGTATTTCCGAGTCAGGATCTCAAATTATCGGCGATTGAGGAAAAACATAAATTAAAATGCTCCGCAATTTCTGTAGCATTTTCAACAGCCTTGCCATTCAACTGAAGCTTACTAATCCCCTTATTCATCTTTCCAGAACCAATCAATGTTTTTATCATATTCCACGTTGCTTTAGGGTTGTTTCGATTTTCTTCGAATGCATTCTCGTAAAACTCACGCTTTGCTGAGCGTAAGGCAGAAACATCTTGTTTCTCGCCACTCGATAATTTGCCCAGTCAAAACTATTGTCCGATTTCCTAGCCACCTTCAATAGGTGATCACGAGAGTGCAATTTCTTAATAACTGCATTTGTCATCCAGGGGGGCTGAGTGGTGTGTTTGATTCTTTTTTCACGCCAAGGACAATGATCATTGAGGGCAGAATTAAACATCTCCTCCCAAGCATAAACAACATCATCAATATCTTCGAACACAAACGCTGTCTCCCATGGGATCTGCTCTAGTTTTCGCTTGAATTGATCCTCATCAAAACATTTCATGTCACGGTACTTGATTCGAGAAGATTGTGTGTTTAAATTTAAATTTTCTGTTAAAATTCGCATACTTGCGAACTACAAAGACTGGTAGATGATCTGCTAGGATGGTTTTCAAGGAAATTATTGGCTTGCTTGATCGCATGCATTCAGACATTGTTCGACAATCCGCTTTCAGATTGGGTTCGTTATTCTTCAACCTAAGAAAAACTTGATCCTTACGCTCGATCCAGACCATGACGAAAAACCACCAGGGAGAATAAACGTTGACACAAAAAAAACCCACAGCGAAAAGCCCGATCTTCGGAATCAAGCTAGAAAGGTTCTTCTTTCGTCTGCAAACTGATGATTTTTATACCGCATGTACTCCTTGAAACCTGATAAACCCTGGGCATTACTGTTTAAAACAGATTCCAGATAAATATCATCCTATGCAGAATTGTGCTTACTTGAAATTTCAATCGCGAGGCTCATTGGTCGCTCATTTAAATAGACTTAGAATCTTCTTCTATCCAGTGGACGTTGCTAAAACCTATATCTTATTGTACTATCATACAATAATAGCAAAATATACTATTTTTAGACAAGTTCACAACTGAATTTGTACCATTTATGACAAAGCTAGCCTGGGTGGAGGTTTTTTTCGTTCCCTACAGCCAACTGAAGAAGTGCGAGCTAAGAAGTAGTTCGGGGAAAATATGGGGAAAGGGAACAAATTAAATAAATTGCCTTTGTGCGACTCGCACTTCTTGCTTCAGCCTTCTTCTTCCTTTTTCCTCAGTGCTTCTCTTACTAGGCTTGAGGAGAGCGGAAAAGACGGCTATGCGAGCCATGAAAGAGATTTTGGTGAGCAGAGCCGCATAAACTACAAAACAATTTGTTTTCAAAAAGTCTGTATCCAGTTCAATATTAAAAGCATCCATCTTTCCGGTGAAATTGCCAAGGGTTTCAATAGGAATATAACTTGAATAAGCCCCTTTCCTTATTTTAGCCCAGTTGAAGAGCCTACCTCAAAAGTTAAACTCATAAATCCACTTGTTTAAATAAAAACGCCTGGCGTCCCCGTGCGAGCGCGCTAGATTCAACAGTTCAACGACTTATTTCTACTCCGAAGTGGAGAATGGCTTTACAAGGACAAAGAGGAAATTCTTTTGAGCAAGAACTGGCTGGAGCTTGCGCCAAAAATTTAGATCAGGCGGCCACGCAATAGTTTTTTGGTCTCTGCGTCTTCCGAAGTTCACTGCATCTTAATTATTAACGTCTGGCTTTCACACTTCTTTAAAGTGATTACGGTGTTACAGACAATCAGTTTATAAGCCTTTCCAAATATGAATTATCATTTTTATTAATCGTTTAACTTCAAGCTACCTAGATCTTAAAATGTCTTACAGGTACAACTTCTAGTGTTTTCACATATTCAATCATTAAAAAAATTGATGTCAACCAAAACATGTCTAAAAAAATAAGAGTGTGCATTAATGACAAAATTTCCACACCAAGATAGCATAATCTGAAAAACCTACCATCTACGTGACAAATATTTACATAAGTCATCGTCATCTGGGTCACTCTAGCCCACAACCCTAAGTTTAAAGGCATCACAACTGCGTAAATAAAATGGAGTTACAATGTCTCCATCACCACATTGGAGTTCGTATAGAAGTCCCCAGGCGAATAAGTGTCCAATGACTACTTTTGAACTAAGAGATACACACGATTTGTTCTCTAACGGATCAACCAAGTTTGGTACGGAGTTTCCTCCATATTTTTCTTTTAGCTGATTCAAGCATATTACAATGACTACTGAGAGTATGAAATCTGAATTGGTCGAGTGGGTTTTTATGCTCAACACCACTGTATAATAATTTGGTGAACTTAAGAGCTTTTCACTACAATTCACCTTAAAACCAAGTAATCTAGGACAGCACCATTTGTATTTCTTGATCAGTATTAACTTTTTCCAATTAACTTTATTTAACTCAGTTTTGTTACAATACAATTTATCGGCTCTGAACCTATTCAAACACACAAAAAAGAAATAATTCCCTAAACATCCTGAGTGAAAGATTCTAATATTCACGTGATTTTCCTTAAAAAAAAAATCCAACTTCACAATTGTAAAACCGCGACCTGGGATATAATTTGTTTAAAAACCAGACACGGTAGCTTTTACAGGTCACCTTGACAGTAAAAGCCATCAGTGGCAAAAACGTTGTTGCGGTTCGCATAGCGACCACACTTTTTCCTCAGCTATCTATCGTGCACTTTGACTCCACACTTGATTAATGAAAACCTGTATTTAAACTTGATAGAACAGAAAGCACAGTGGGAGCCAGCAAAGTGAAACATTTGACTTCCGGGTGTCAGTGGGACGTCTACAATAAGGGAAAGTCATTGGTAGAACAAACTCGCGGTGCTGTCTCAACAAATCAAATGCAAAAGTTAAAAAAAACTACGAAAGATTCACTCCCGTTTTGCAGCGCTTCGGGCACTTTCTCTTTGAGTTTTGATTGTTCTGGTTGGTCGTTGTGATTACTGAGGTTTTAGTTCTACTACATACAATCGAAAGACATCCTGTTTCGGTTACTGCAAAAACAGTTCCTCTGGGAAAATTTGCTCTCTACAAACGATCAGCTATGACCGGACACTCTAGCTCGACCAGAATTTCATACAATCTTCCTACTGTGCTATGGCGCTTGACCTCCCAAGACTTCAAGACTTCATCAGCTGGATTTTCTACTCTTTTTTTGTCGAGCCCTTGGATGGTAGTGTTGTCGAAACCAAGTCTCTCTGCTAAAGCTTTCCAACTATCGTTCGCTGAAAACACAACGACATAATTAATAAGGGCTGGAGTCTGCTTCATATAAACCTGCAGTAAATAAAAAACAACGACAACAACTAAAACAGAACAAAGTTAACGAAAACAAACAAATTGTGACGGTGGATAAATGACTTTTCAGAGATCAGGGAACTTGTGTATAGCGAGAGCGTATGGCTGCAAAGCTGCAGATCAGGCAATAAACGTCCTTCTAGCATTCAAAAGTGTGACACTTTTTCGGAAAATATTGGAAGAGAAGTGTGTTCCGGGAACCATGTACAGTACATTGTAATTATTGTCTTCGCCATACAAAAGTAAGCAGAAATTTACGACACTGACCGCGTTTTGAGATTCCAGAGAGCAACTCATTAGTTTGAAAATTTTCACCAAGTGCACTAAACATTTGACTGGGTAAGTCACAATTTTGATTCTCGTTTGATATCTCGGCAGCTTATCATTTGAGTATTAAGTCATAGTCTTATTTTTTGCATTTTTAAGCGATCTGTCTGGCTCAAATAATGATCAAGTTTGTTGTCATCAGTGCAGCAGATGGTCGTGAACTGCGCTTACTAGTTTTACGCACGCGGCCCGGTTACTGAATTGTTAACCCAATGGATAGTGCGCTGGACTGTTGTGCGGGAGGTCGAGGGTTCGAGCCCCGGCCGCACCAACACTCAAGGTCTTAAAATAATTGAGAAGAATTTGCTACCTTTCTTTGACATCAAGAAATAGTTAGAAATTCTAGTCTTCTCGGATAGGTCACGTCTCCTGCAGGGTTGGGGGTGGGAGACGTTAATTTCCTGCACACGAGATTGCCTTGGGATGGTGGGATGTACAGGCCCCCATTTAAACCAGCTTCAATCTGAACTGGGCTGGCCTGTCTAAATACCGTAAATACATACATAAAATAGAGGCATCTTGAGTCGAGTTTTGAACATATTTGAAGAACGCCTAGTTACTCTTAAGAATCTCCAAAGGCAGTCAGCGCTATAATTTCATATGTTTCGTTGATGGTGAAAAAAAAGAAAAGTATATTGCTTCGGAAGTATGTTTCTCCTTTGACACAGGCCATTTGGTTTTTTTCAGTTGAACATGATCTCCAGACGATCTCAAAATAGTTGATGATAATTATTATACTAATTCTTTATCTTTTCACTTCAACCTCTTATCTCATGTTCATTGTAAGTGAACAGGGACCCGTTCACAATTGCAGAAGGGTGAAAGGCACCCAAAATACATGTCTTTGCCACGCTGTTGGCATTTCATACATATTTTTAAAACATCGCTCTGGAAATTCTGGGTCTGACTGAAGGGCAACCGGAAAAGAAACTTACCGTTTAATTTTTTAGTCAGTTCTCTTCGAGCTGAGTAAGGTATGTCTTGGATAAGCATATTGGGTGACAGCAGAGGACCTATTAAAATTACAAAAATACAAATAACTTTCAGGGCTTGTAAATGAAAATGATGTAAGTGCCACTGTATGCTCTACAGCTTAGCCCTTCTATTCTCGGAAGTGACAAGTATCTAATTATTGCTCCTGAAAGTATCAACTTTAAATCAAACATTAAGGTCACAACAATGAAGGCAATGATTAAGGACTACAGTGTTGCTAGTCCATCACAAGTTGCCCCCCATCCATCAAGGTTTGTTGAACTTCACACTTCGTCAAGCAACACCAAATTTGCCTGCTCTTGAATACAACATAATGATGTAGATATAGCTAACCTCTCAGTATAGAGTTGGGTCCATGTTCTGAGAAAAACGGAGTTCAAGGCTCTATCAACTTTATTATGTAATGGAATCCTATGCAGTTACTCACCTATGACTCCTTTTTGTGTAGGTAATGCCTCTCTAAATATTTTAATCACACTTTCTCTGTTGTTGTTAATCAACTCCGTATATTTAAGAATGGGGTAGTTTGTACTTTGTAGCATAATTTCTACTAAGGACTTGTTGCTCGGCCCAGGCTCTTCGTTTAGTTCGCTCCTCAACAGTTCTACTGCTGGTTGCTCCAGTCTACCTGCGATAGAAGATGCCTCCTTGGAGATTAGGTCTCCAAAACATTTAACCTCTCTTGAACCTGAAAACCATGTAATAGTTGTTTAATATTTACGTTGGCGTATTTCAGTGAGCAATGATAAAATACTTTTATGTAAAGGTGAGATGACCATCTCTGATCCTCAAAGAAAAGGCAGGTTAAGGACACATGTACATTTGTACCAAGGTTCTGGTTGATATGCAGGAAATAGGGAAGGGGATGGGGACGGCAGGCACTTACTTCCCTTTCAGTGTTTCCCTCTAACTTAATCTAGTATTGTGACTAAGTAAACTATTGCTGATAGCAACTCACACCGATTGGTTAATAAAAGGCACTACCCAGTCCCCTACCCTGGTTAGGATAAAATAGATGATGAGCATGGTTGAACGACAATGGCGGGAAGAGTAAACCAAGCATGGACTGGTGGGAGGGAGCTGGACTTGACATGCTTTCCCACAGTACATGTACATGTGTAACGCACGCGGCCAATGTCGACCAGCGGTATACAAATGTATCGCATGCTCAAAGAACCTAAATAAACAACATAGATTCTGTATGTTACATGGTGTTAGAAATGGACCAAAAAATCTTTAAAAAATCTTGGCTTTGAACAAACGATCCGAAACCGAATTTTATCCTACATGATGTCTCAGATACCATTTGATCACCCGCATATTGATTGCGCTATTGTTCAAAAATGGCCATATATGGTAATTTCTCGCTTGTCTAACAAAGCCTATTGTTATCAAAGTTGAGCCACTTTTCTTGATACGCTGATGCGCAGAGGGCCAAGCTAGGGTCTATGTTGTTCGGGCCTGTGGAGGATATACCTGACTTAGTGTTCCAAGGAATTAATGGAGAGCTTGTGAGAGAAGCTGCATTAAGAACTAAGGGGTCTGGCGGCCCCTCGGGGGTGGACGCCAACGGCTTCAAGAGGATCTTGGCATGGAAGTCTGTTAAGAGATCAAGTATCAACCTATGTGAGTCTATTGCTACACTCACAAGAAGGCTGTGCACGGAATTTGTTGATCCACTGACCATTGAACCTATCGTAGCCAGTTGCTTTATTCCGTTTGACAAGGGTAACGGCGAGGTGTGCCCAATTGGTTTACGCGAGGTGATTAGAAGAATTGGCAAATGCGTCACAAGATTCACAAAACAAGATGTGATCAACGGCTTGTGGGACCATGCAGGTCTACGCTGGTCAGAAGAGTGGCGGGGAAGCCGCAATACATGCATGCGCAATATCTTTGAAGGCGATGAAACTGATGCCGCCTTACTAGTTGACGCCTCTAACGCTTTCAATTCACTAAACAGAGCGGCCGCGCTTAATAACATCAGAGTGCTATACCCATTCATCACCATCTATGTAACTAACACTTATCGAGTGTTAGATACATAGATGGTGATTTTTGGTTGGTGGTAGTGAGTTTAAATCTGGAGAAGGAACCACACAGGGAGACCTCTTAGCCATGTCAATGTATGCAATTAGTCTACAACAGTTAATGTCGTTACTTCAAAATCGAAGTACTGCAATAAAGTGCTGGTTCGTGGATGGAGCAGGATCCCTAGAAGAGGTTAAGCAATGGTCGGATGAGTTGAGAGAGGCTGGTCCGCCCCTTGGATACTATCCTTAAGCCCCGGCCAAACGAGAAATGTAGCGTCTCGCAACAAGACGCAACATTGTTGGGTCACCCAACATTTTCTCGTTTGGCCACCCTGTGGGGCTTAACTCAAAAAAATATTGGCTTGTTGTTGAGCCGGAAAAGGAAGACCGCGCGAAGGAAATGTTTGCAGGGACTGGTATCAGCATCACCACCGAGGGACGCAAACACCTTAGCGCTGCGCTGGGCTCTCGGTCTTATCTTGAGCAATATGTGAGTAGCAAGGTGGAAGATTGGGTGAAAGAAGTGACGACGTTGGCGGAGTCTGCAAGATCTCAGCCACAAGCTAGTTACGCAGCATTCACATTTGGGCTTCGATACCGGTGGACGTACCTTATGAGAAGACCGTTGGATATTGAGAACCTACTGCAGCCCTTCGAGTGTGCAATCTCGGATGTAACTATACCGTCGCTCATAGAACGTAACTGTTCTGAGGAAGAACGTAGAGTAGTAGCATTGCCAGTGTGTATGGGAGGCCTTGGGCTCATTAATCCATCTGCTACTGCGGATGCGGAGTATTCAGCGTCTGTTAGGGTAAGCGCTCCACTTGTAAACAAAATAGAGACGCAATCCCATGAGAGCCCTGAAGAGGCCGAGGTACAACGACTGGTATACGTCACCCGGAAAGAAAAGGATGATAGGCTAAAAGAAAAGCTTAAGGAGGTGAAGGCCTTATTGGCAGACAAGACACAGAGAGCCGTAGACCTGGCTTGCGAAAAGGGCGCATCCAACTGGCTTACAGTTATTCCTCTCAAAGATATAGATTTTGATCTCAACAAGCGGGAATTTCTGGACGTTGTGAGGCTTCGATATGATCGGCCAATACCCGACAATTCATCAGCATGCGTTTGTGCGAGCCTGTTTACAGTAGATCACGCGATGATCTTCCAGCGTGGAGGCTTAGTCATTCAGCGTCACAATGAAATACTCGATCTACAGGCCGAGCTGCTAGACATTGTTTGTTACGATGTGCAGATGGAACCGGAATTACAGCCTATTACAGGCCAAGAATTTGCCAGAGGCACTAACCAAGCCCCCGACGCACGCCTCGACGTTCACTGAAGGGGTTTCTGGGAGCGAAATAGGCTGCTTTTTGTCATCCCAATGCAGACTCATACAGAGATCTTAGCCCCAAGGAGATTTACAGGATTTATGAAAATGAAAAGAAGCGAAAATACAACTCCCGTGCCACAGAAGTAGAGCAAGGCACTTTCACCCCACTGGTATTTTCAACGACGGGGGGGATGGCTGACGAATGTCTGGGGTACCACTCAAGATTAGCCAAGCTATCATCTGCAAAAAAGCAAGAGAGCTACGCCACAACAAATTCATGGGTCAGGGCGAGAGTGTCCTTTGCAATTTTGCGGAGCGCGCTCCTATGTCTAAGGGGATCTAGAACCCCGAGGAGGAACTTGGACATTAAAGACAGGGACCTGGAAGTAGAGAAGGGTCGAGCAGGACTTCCCTAAACTCATCAGCTATAGATTACCTCTATTATTCTTATAGTAAATTTTTCTTATTATTTTTTCGCGTTCTACTTTTGAAGACTTTGTAGTTCCCTTGTCAAGAGACTTAAAGTAAGATATAGACTACCTAAACAACACATTATAATTTTATTAATCATAGCCATGCTTTAAGTCATTGTGGTCTGTACATAGCCTGATGAGAGCAAAGAGTACAACTACAACTTATAATTATGTAGTTTAGTAATACATAGACAGGTAAAAATGAACGATATAATATCCAGACGTTTCGGCGACTTCATGACGCCATTATCAAGGGTACAAATGAAAATAAAATTAACAAATGCGAGTTCAAGATTTACAACTAATTTGCATAGGGGAGGTAGCTACACAAATACCTTAGCACGGATAGAATCCGTTTGCACGTTCAAACTCGGTGTTAATTGTTTGATGTAAAGCATCTCGTTGACAAGACAATCGAATTTGTTCATGCACTTCTTGAGAACTTTCAAACAGCTAAGAAGGTCCTCAGGGACAGCACCTGCGTGGTCGTTGTCGTAGTGCTTGCGTACT